AGGGACACGATTTACAGTAAAAGAGGCACAAAGACATGTTTCAGTGAGCTAAGATTTCCCCTCCCTCCAGCCACGTGGGAGAGGGCAGCCCAGCACCTGCTGCCGTCGCGCTGCGCGGGATTCAAAGGCTCAGAGCGAGAAGTGAGTCATCCTCCCAGATTCAGAGGGCCTCTGCCCCTGTCTGCGTGTGCCCCCGCCGCAGGGCCGCACCCAACCTGCAGCCAGATTTGGTTATAACTTTCAAACTGAGCTCAGCCCCGAGCCGGGTGCCGTTCCCCAGCCTTGCTTCCCATCTTTCATCAGACGACGGTTGCCTGAGATGACAAGCCCGGCTACCTCATACTGGATCCACAAAACGCCACAACTACACGACCTGAACACAGTCTGACTCCTCTTTCCTTTTTATTTAACCAAGTAAGAGGTATTTTTCCCCTGGGGGACTCGAGAGACTTGCTGAATCGATCTGATCCCACAGCAGGCATGTGCTGCTCGAGGAGTCTACCGTAATGCCGTTACTGAAGTATAAACAGCATGAACTGGCGTATAACCGGTGCTCGCCCTCCCCTGCGTGAGGTTTATTTTAACAACACCCGGCACTGGAAGCGCAGCTCAACATTGCCCCATGTTCTCCTCCACGAAGAAGCCGGCATCCCGCACGTAGGCTTTGGCCCGTGGCAGCACCTCCAGCAGCCCCTTCCCCCAGGCTGCGGGGGGCACGCCGTTCACCGCATAAGCCGCGAAGAGGGACGAAGCCAGGGACCCCAAGTAGCCGGTGGGATGGTGGTGGGTCATTCGGCCGCTCTCGATGCTGACTTGCACCAGGGTGTCCAGATCAGCAGGGTGGTGGAAACGCAGCCCGATGCACATGGAGCGCATGGCGGCCCCGCAGCCTCCCGCCTGGGGGCTGAACGGGATCCTCCAGCCATCCGGCTGCCCTGGATCCAGCTTCAGCGCGTTTTTCATACACGTGACACCTGGACGGGAGGGGCAGAGCCCAAGAAAGATGAGAAAAAAAAGAAATTTGCGTTGTTCATATTTACATTTCATGTTATTTAATAACTTGTCTATAAAACATATATACTGTATTAGACATATCATGCACACATGTATCTAGATAAATACATGTAAGTAGAAAGGAGGTTTGGAGGATCCTTGACGCCAGGCAAGGTTAAGTACCTCTGCTTTTTCAGATGTTTAGGACCTTTTAAAGGCAGAGACCCCCCCAGGAATTTTGCCCATTGCCTCACTGCCAGGAAACGTTTTCCAGATCTCCCTCGCTGCGGTTTAAATTTGTCAGAAGGCAATGAAGGTAGTACCTCCCTCACGGCAACACGGCCTGAGTCGCTCCCCTCACCGTACTCCAGTAAGCTGAAGAACAAGGTGAGACCAAAGGTTTGTCCAGGCCGCTAGCTCGTCTCCAAACCAGTCACTAACGGGCAATTATGGAAAGACTATAAAAATTAAGGCCAGGACAATGTTTCCCCAGGAAGAGCTGCCCGGCTTCCAGCAGACAAAGGAGGACCACGCGCTTGAGTCAGAAGGTGTATCCCAAGCGGTGTGTTCAGTAACCGGCAGCGGACCCAGCGTGCGTGCTTCCGGAGACCTTCAACACCGTTTTGTTACGCAAAGTATTTCCCTCTTCTAAACTGCCGTTTGACAGTTTCCTTAAGTTTCCCTCTTGCAAGAACTAAGGACTTCCCATGCTCCATGAAGACTCTATGTGCGGTTTTCTCCCACTCTGGGCTGACACCCTCATCCAATTTTGCCCCTCTTCTGGCGCCTGGGAAGCCACACCGTAACTCCTCCTTGCCCACTTCCATCTCTTTCCCAGTCCTGCTCTTTACTTTTTAAACAAATGACTGCTGCTTCCAGCGCTGCTTCTTTGGCAACACACTCGCTCGTCCAGCGCATTCCGGGGCTAAAGCCATCTGCACAAACATACCCAAATTTCAGAGCCCAGCCAGCTTCCCCGGCCAAGACCATGAAACAAGTTGTGAGAGCAAAGCCCAAACGCTCACGTGCGACGAAGAGAAAACAGGTTTGAAACACAAAATTATCTTTGATTCTCTTCTGCCTTGCATTTTTCTCCCAGTCATCGCTTGCGGATAAATCTTGAATACCTCTTTTCCAGCAGAAAGGTAAATCAAGGGCAGGTTTCAAGCAGCTTCATTTAAGTTTTAATGTGTTGGACAAAGGCAAGAGTGGATCCAGAAATGAGGCTTCTCCTAAACACAGCGTGCCTGGTCCCCTCTCAGACATACAGGGTAACAGCGGCCGTTGACACGCTCATGCACACAAAATTAGACCGTTGCTCCTGTACTTTGCTGCCTCGCCAGGACTGAGACAATAGCTATTCCATCAGTCTCTAACCAGACTGATAAATCACCTCTTTGATTTATATAAATATAGTATCCAATATATAAAATAATGGTATGATAACATGATAATTATATGATTTATATAAAACAAATATCTGCCTCTAAATCAGACTATAATAGCTGATAAACTTGCAGGTGCCCTGTTAGCTTTGAAAGTCAAACTAAGTAAACTAAGTAAAACAGGTACACCTTTGGTGCAATCTCATCACCATGATTTGGGAGCTCGCTAATCACAGCTAGGTACGGCACGAAGCACCCTGCAGAGCCCCTCGCTTCTGCCCTCTCACATACACGCCTGGCAGCAGGATTTGGTACACGGCAGCCCCTTTCACCTGCACACAGCATTTACGGCACCCTTGTAATCAAAAAACACCTCGACGTCCAAGCACAGCTTTCAGATTGGCTTCTGGACATGTGCTAAAAATAAATCAAGGCTGGTTGCTGCCAGGAATAAAGGTCACATGGATCCCTTCATAGTTCTGGTCTAAACGTCTTCAGTGTGTTTCTTTTGTGACGGCATTGTCACGCCACAGGCTTACTGGGTCTGGATACAGCCCTCCGTGCGGCGTGAACGGGTGGGCCAGCTCCTCGTCAACGGTTGTCCTTAGGCATCCTTCTTCCAGGTGATTCATGCAGTGAAAACCGCAGGGCCATGCTTCCCTGCTGGAAGAAGCAGCAGGCAGAGCGTTCGGTGTGGGCAGCACCGGGACCAACCGCCACCAATCTCTAACTGAACTGCCAGGGAGTTTGTTTCCATGATGTCTCCACGTGGGAACGTGTCCAGGCCTCTAAATCTGCTTTTCGTGTAGTTTATTAATTCAGTGCTGGCTGCTCTGCAGCAAAATCGTTAAGAGGGATATCAGTATCATTTCCAGCTTTATGTTGATTATCAGAAAACTGAGGCCTTTTTTCAGAAATCTAATTATATTAAGCATTGCTCTTATGACCTATAACAGGACATTAAAAAAGAGCCTGTCAAACAAAGCCACATCTTTAAAGTGCTGTGCCAAATACCCTATTCTGGGTAAAACAGACCTTCTGCCAGAAAAGACAATGGGAAGGGGAGAGGGCAAAGGGACTGGGGTAGCCTAAAATCAAAATCTGCATAACAAAAGCAAGATGAACTCTGTAATCTCGCTGGAATGGTGCAAAAGACACTCCTCCAGAACATGTTTGGGCAGCTTGAGACCAGGCAACTCGGCCCTTGCTAAGAAGTGGGATTGTTCTTGCACGAGCTGCAGTTAACAGAGGAAGGCGACAAGGCTTCAGCTGTGAAGGCTGGTTATTCTGCAACACAATTTACTTGTAAGCCCGTGCATATTACTGTGGGACATGATAACCTGCAGATGGAAAACAATGTGTGAAACGAACCAGTATACAACAGCTAAGGCTTGTGATCTATGAGGTATTACAAGTATTATCCTCATGCTTTTTAACAGTTAAAATATTAGAACATTTGAAAGCCGATTTAGGAAGACTTAAGCTGAAATCACGTTGTCAGGTCTTTTTTCTTTAAATAGGTTTAAAAGAAAAAAACCCACTGCCGTAGGAGTTTCTGAATCAGGAAATTCTGTTTTGGAAATCCACTCAGTCCTGGTTGGGATTCCTTTGTACTAACAACAAGAAACTGAAAATAACAGTAACCTGAGGAGGGTACTGGTCTAAGGAATACAAGCAAAAAGGAGCGCGTGAGGAAGGACAACCTGACAAAAGTTTCAAGTACAACTGGATGCTATTTCTGGAAAGGCTTTTCATTCCAAGACCACCAGCCCCTGTAAAGAGGGTTAACTCTTTCCTGACTAAACCCAGCACAATTCCACTTACTCAGACTCCTCATGAGCACGGACAGTAATAGTTGCTTGGTATCAGTCAATGCACATTAAAAAAGGTGAACTAAAACAACCACACAGTGGTAAATAACTCCACGGGGAGAGGACTTGGACCAAAAGTCAGCATTTTAAAGCAGCACATTTCCCGAAGAGCTGTGGAGGCAGAACATCCTTGCGCCATGAAAAACCTGCCACTGCATTAAGGCAGCGAGTTCTCTCTTGAGGCTGCATACTTGAGGGACCCTGCCTTGCCCTCTGGTGACTCATAACGTTGTGGGAATCCCTTTGTTACTTCGGGTTTTGGTTTTCAGGTCCGGACTCCCTCATGTGGGCGAACAATGTGACTTGCCCCCGCTGTTCTGGAGGAATCTCTTTTCTGTGGGGTGAAAGTTGCAGCAGCAACTTCCCATTCTCGGCTTTAAGGGCTGCAATTCCCTGGTGAGTACTTACTGCGGCCAGAAGAGCATCATCTCGGGTTATGTTCTCAGTTAACATCCATTTACTGTGAACTGCCGAAAGGCGTTATCGACATGCCACTTCCATCATTAGGATTTATCAATATGGCATGGAGACTCCAGAATGCAGACAGCTTTTCAGGATATGGATTAGGCATTCCCTTTAATACCCACTGAGGTACTACCAAACTGTTTGGTGGCAGGACCAAAACTCTCACAGCCAAACACCCTTCCTGTGCCTGCAGCAGCATCTCAGAACATTCCCAACAGACTTTCATTTTTTTCCACTTCCCACAAAATTTTACGAGGTTAGGTGTCCACAGACCCAATAAAGAAGTTGCATTTCTTGGTTTAGCTAGATAGCCTGACTTTTCCTTATCACTCTAATTATTGTCCATAGCAAATTTACTTTAAAACACTCGACTTTCAAATGGGAACTGCTTTTGGGCATACTGCAGCTCAGTTACTCACAGAACTGCAGCAGGTGTGCTATTATCCTTAGCTATTAATTACTAACATTCAAATTTCAGGTTCTTCACCGTTTCATCTTGGGTTTTAGTCACTGGCACCTGTGGTTAGTCCACCTGGGCAAGCCCCATCAGCTGGGGGACCTACAAGATGCTCCTTTGCCAAAACAGCACCGAATCTCTTGGCAGTTTAACCTGCTGATTCCCGATATCCTGGCAAGCATCCTTACCCCTTCCTACATATGCTATTAATTAGGCTACTCCTACAACTGAGACTACCTGTGTTAAAGAATACCACTTAGTTCTTTACACAAGGGTAGGAGGTCACTGTGGAAAGGTACGCCGAATAAATTCCTGCTCGAGCTTCCAGCCTGCTTTACCTTGGAAATGCACAGCTCTGTCATACTACGCTCAGTGGCCCCAAGAGAGCAGTGCAGGATTTGACCTTTCCCATGTTTCATGTCAAGCCAGAACATTCTCGACATATTCCGGCCACTCCAAATAGGCATGTCTACGCAATTTCTTTTCGATGCGTAAACTCTGCATAGGATTGCTGAATTTGAGTGTTTCCTGGATACCTCACGCTGCCTGCACGAGTCAAATTAGCAGCCCAGCCTCAGTACCTCTGATTTAAGTTCAGTTCAAGCATCTAGAAGAGGCTGAGCCATGAACACAGAGACAGACGTGGTTCTCTGGGATGAGCGGGGTCAGCAGGCCTGGGTGAACTGGGAGGTGAACTATAGGAGTGCGTTGCACATGACTTAACTGCTGCAGCCTGCCGAGGCACCCTTCCTGACACCCCACGCTGACGGTCCCCGCTGCCCGTGACCCAAACTCAGCACCATTGCGTCTATGCAGGGAAAAAAAAGAGATGACGGAAGCACAGGGTTCAGAAAAGGCGATTGTGGCCTAAATGTCCTGGTGCAGAAAGCAAACGTGGAGCTAGCCAAAAGTAACTTTTTGTTTAATGGGCTTAATTATTCCAAGCAAGGATCTCTGTGCCTCTAAATATACTTGATGTGTAATCTATCGTGTTTATTTTGAGAAGTTCTGTATTAATTCTGTTTAAATGCACTGTTTTAACACAGCATCTCAGGGTGCGCATTACACGTGGCCGAATTTGCATTTTTTATCCACTGAGTATAGGAAAAGACACATCCCCAGCACAGAAGCCAGCATCCTTGCCCTGAGTTCAAGGCCAGGCCTCAAACACACCTGTTCGGTAAATGTGGGCAAAACAGTACCTTTCTCATCTAGTTCAGAGAAGCCCAAACCACTTCAGCTTGCCTTATTCTGCTCTCTTTAGTTCAGCCTGAAACAGGTACTGAGCACGGAAAACTTTTGCCTTTACAGAAGGTACGATTAATGCAATAAACACCCCAAAAGCAGAGCCGGGGCAGCCTCAGCTCCAAGCTGCAGGAGAGACATCAGCGAGGGGACAGTCCTGCCCAAACAGCATTACGGAAGGGTTACCTGGAGCTCTATCCTTCATGTCATTCATGCACTCCTTGTAGTTCTTTGCAATCAGGGAATAGAGATGCGCTAGATCCGGGGTTTTCCCAGCGGCTACCAGGGCTTCCGCCGTGGCCAAGTGCATCACCGTATCGTCGCTGACCTTCCAACCTTGGATGCTGAGGTTGCCGAGTCCCCCCATCTCTGCCAGCTCCCTGTGGATGGCTGGGCCGCTCTGCTCGAACTCCCATTTCCCGTTGTAATAGCCCAGCGTGTCACCAACCGCGCTCAGCACCATCGACGCCACGTAGTTTTCCATCGCCCTAGGACACCAGCTTTGTCCCAGGATCGCTTCAACGCAGAAAACACTGTGGGGAGAAAAAATAAGTAAGTGAACGGGAAGGAGATTGAAATGAAAACCTTTCCCAGTTCAGCACGAGGCCCTGCTGCCAGGCAGCCGCAGGATGGGCACCCCCCCCGCCTAGCAGCTGGGCCAGGGGCAGCTGGCCACGTCCCCTCGGGGCGGCCCAGGGTGCCACTGCAGGTCACAGCCGGGACGAGGCCCGAAAACAAGGGCAGGACTGCAGGGCCACGGGC